GGAAACAGGAAGCCCCTGAACATGCCATCAGAGCTGTGAGTGGGTGGGTGAGACTGAGATCTTCGGGGGGCTAGGAGGGCTGTGGTGGCTGTTGCCCTGGTGGGAGGGGAGCCTGGGTTGATGTCTGGAAGCTGGCACTGGACTGGGGGCTCACCCCAACCTCTTTCACCCCATAGTAGGTTCCCACCAAGGAGCCTCAGAGAGAGGCTTGGGAGGTAGGCAGGGGCTAGATGGCAAAGATCGTTCCCACCTGGAGAGTCTGGAGCAGGGAAGCAGCCTTAGAGAGCTGGGCTGATGCGGTTGAGACTGCAGGTGGAGGGGTGGCCCAGCCCCACTCAGCACCATGCCCCTGTGGGCCTGGGGGGCAGAGCTGTGGGGAGAGTTGAACCTGTGGGGAGAGTTGAACCTGTGGGGCTCTTGTTGCCCCTGGGCAGTTCCTAGAGCTGACTGTCCTAAGAGGGCCCTGAAGACAGGCCACCTCGTAGGCAGCGAGGCCAAGGGACCTGCCACCCAGCTAGCAGGAGAGGAAGAAGGAGAATGTTCCTGAGTTGGCTGCTTTGTGTGAGCCCTGCGAGCTCTGTAGCCTCGAGAGCTGCCTCAGAGGTCTGATCTGTGCAATGGGCTCTCACTGGTGCCCACCTCCATGGGTGGTTGAGGGAATTAGACGAGGTACCATGTCTAAAGGCTTCTTAGCAGAGGGCCTCGAACAGAGGGAAGCTTAGCAATTGGTGGCTTTAGAAACACCCCTCGTCTCCCCGTGTTGGGCCCTCTGCTTGCCTGGGTGGTGAGCAGTGGGGCGGATTTTGGCTGCCAGGTTTCCCTTGTCCCAGCCACAGTTGTTGAGCAAACATTTGCGGGGTGCCACCTGGGGACAGAGGCAAAATCCAGGATGAACCAGACCAGCTGGACACTGGGGACAATAAGCCATTACAGTCATGTTCAGAGGCCCTAAACCGGCCTGGGGTGGGGCAGGGCAGGGCAGGGCAGGGCAGGCTTCCAGAAGAGGCGCCTGAGAACAGGTGTCAGGTGTCCAGCGGGGACAGGGTGCCCTGGGCAGAGGACCTGGCCCAGGCAAAGGCCTGGAGCCCCCAGAAGTCTTCCCCGGGAAGCCCAGGGGCCCCCTGCCTTTTCAGAAGGACAGACTGTTTCCGTGTCAGAGGCTACTGCTGCTGCCTCCCTAGGGACTGATGTGGCCACAGAATGTGGCTTGAATGGTGGAAGCTGGGCAAGATGGATTATCCCTCCCACATCCTGGGGAAGGGCCACCGGATAGCCCCTGCTGACCCTGGGTCACCGTGCCGCCTCCGTCCAGTGCGCCGGGGAGAAGATCATTAATGGGCGGCTGGCTTCTGGGCAGGGCAGCTGCCCTCAGGGGCCTGGGGTGAGGAGATTGGTTTGACCTCTGGTCGATAAGGTCTCCTGTGAGCAGGAGGAGACTTGGAGGACAGGGAGGGAGGCCAGAGGCTGGCCCCTGGGGGAGGGGACAGGGCCAGCGCATCTCTGGAAGTCATTCCAGGGAGCTTGAGGGCCATGGCTGGGAGTCTTCAGGACACATGCCCACCAGGAGTGGGCCTCGGGGGCACTGGGGTTCCTCCCTCGCTGAGCATCAGGGTCCTGGCTGCGAATGATGACAGGGGTGGGGCTGAGAGGGGGAGAAGCGGCTCTGAGGGCAGCGGAGTGAGAGGTGTCACACTGGATGGCCTAGCCACGTCACCAGACTGTGTGACTCGGATCAATTGACTTACCTTTTCTGAGCCTCAGTTTCTGCCTCTGTTAAATGGATGTGCTAAGCCTTCCCATGTCACAGGGTTGTCTGGACAATCCAAAGCAGTAACATCTTTCGAATTGTAATCTGTGCCTCAGAATTGCCTTGTCTTGGGGACAGGGACTGTGATCTGCTTGTGTCCCCAAGAGGCTTTGGCTTGCGGCTTCCCTGAGAGCCTGTTCAAGGGCTGCTTGACATTCTCAGTAGGTGCCCACTGAGCACTTGCTCTGCCCCAGGCACTGTGCTAGGGCTTCATATGTTTAATCCCAGCACCCACGAGGCAGGTGCCATTCGCATCAGCCTTGATTTACAGGTGAGGAAACTGAGGCCCAGCGAGGTTAGTAACTTGCCTACGGTCCCTTAGCTAGGGAGTGGCACGCCGTGGGTTTTGAACCTTGGTCCTGGTGGGGCAGGTGGGGCCCAGCAAGAGGGACTGAAAGCTGGGCTTTGGGGCCACGAGGTCTGGGCTGCCATTGCCTGCTTCTGAGACCTCGTCAGTTCAGCTTCGGAGCCTCAGTTTCCTCACCTGTAATGTGGGTTAACGCTTCCACCCTGAGTATGGTAGTGAAAGATTATGTGCTGGGGTGGGGGGATTATGTCCAGGTCAGTTCTGGGACAGAGATCCTGAGTGGCGTGGGGTGTGGAACCCTGGCTGCTCACAGATGAGGGCTGACACAGATGCAGCCCGGGTCCCAAGAGCTCTGCCATGGGCTGGGTGGGCTCTGCTTTTGTGGGACTGAGGTCCTATGTGCCTAAACTGAACAAACCTGTCTGGGCTTCAAGAATCGTTCAGCTTTATGGTTAAGATAAGTTGGGACAGGCATATAATTAGGGTATAGAAAACCTAATATAATGTTAAATGGAATGACAGGACTCCAGATCTTTTTAACCTCCCTCCCTCCC